CACAAGTGCACATGTGAGTGTACATGTGTTCTTTTAGGAAGGCATTATATTGTTGTAAGATTGTACCTCCTGATATTTTTCTTTCTAGGTGGTGTAATCCTTAACTGTGATGCAATGTCAGTTCAGTTGGTGGATTCTGCCATCTCGAATGGTCAAAATTTGGCGAGATCAACCACCTTTGTAAAACTTCGACAGAACTGATCTGTGCCTGTTATTTGGGCGAGTGTAGAGGTCTGCCTAGTGAGTTTGTCCCCAAGAGTGGTCAATTAGATATAAGATCTCGCTCCCTGTCTCTTTCCAGTAATCATTGTTTTAGACAGTTCCTTAGTTAAGGTTTGTATCTGAATCTTTTCTTAATAACTATCAATAGATGTATCCTTCACCAGTTTTTACAGTTCTTAAGCTTTGGCTTCCACACCATCTCTGGTAGGGGCTGTAGGATTTCACTGTGTGTTGTGTGGGGAAAGTACTTCCATTCCTGTGTTGTTTTTTATTGATTTTACTGATTTATTTTAATTGATTTTCTTGATAATTTCATTGGTTACTTCTGTTATCATGAAACTAATAAATAATAATAGCTTGTTTACCTTCTCATATCTTTCTTTTATAGAGCCTCCATCAGCTTCTTCTTTATCATGATCTTTGATGGATTTTTTTTTTTCCTGTTTTGTTTTGAACTGATGCTTCCTAGTCTTAATCACTCAAGATCAAGCTGAAAACCCAGAAATGCTTGATTCCAGTTAGGGATCATGCCTAGGCTCAGAGATGTCCCAATAGCTAGAACTGTAAATGTAAATACATTAAGGCTTTATCAGGCAAGAGGAGAGCATTATCATCAGTAGGTGTTACTGTACAAGCTTGGGGTTTTGGTTCCCTTCTGAGAGTCAGCAGAAGACGTTAGAAAGAGGAGATGGTAGCAGAGAGAGAGGCCATTAAAAGCATAGTCTCTAAATTTTAGTAACATGTAGCAAGAAATAAAGGTTGAATTTCCTGTAGTAAAATGCCTCTGCTAGTTAGCTAAGTAGTGGAAATGAAGAGAACATTGTCTTGGCTGTCAGTGGGAGACTGGTGAGGTGTTGCTAGATACATTTTTCTTCTGTGACTTTTTTACTTTCTTGCTATGGAGAAGAAATACTTGTTAAAATAAATGTGGTGATTTTGTAGCCTTGTGCAGTGAAGGTTTTTTTGGCTTGTTTCTACCAAATCTGGGTAGGTGTGGTGTGTAGAAAGGAAAGAATACTTCATGGCAGACTGGCATGTTGGCATGGTTCCTGTTGAGAAGCAAGTGTTTGTGCCTACAATCACAAACTGTTCTCTAATAAAAATAAGGGCAAAGCATTTATGGCAGCATAAACTTAAACATACTTTTCTTCATAAACCAATTGTTTTGTAAAGGTAATAGAAATCACAGGGAGAAGAAAATAACCTGGGACCGGAAGTGGTCTCTGAATTTGGTGACATTTCTCTCCCTCCTTTAGCCAGCACATTTTATACAGAAACTTTGTCCTGTGACCAGTACAGTAAGGTGAAATTGCTTTTATCCTTCAGTCCCAGCAGACTTAGAGATTTCATTCTTGTAGTAATTATTTGGCTAAGTTGTTGAGGGCAGAGTGTTTGGTTATAACTGGAGTTAGTGATGAATTGCACAGAAAGGCAAAACATGTTCAGCTGTTTTAAGTGTACTTAAGATGCCACTTAAGTACCACCTAAATCCAGTTGGGTGAATTATATTCAAAATCAATTGCTAGGTACTTCATGGATATGTAACAGGACACAATATGTAATGATGCTGTTAAAGCAAATGAAATTTTTTGCACGGTAAACAGCATTTGAAATAGGATTCTGAAAGCAGTGTGTTTTCAGATCCGACTGACATGTACTCCTGTCCAAGACACAGCGCGAGATGCACTGTATGTATGCGTGGCTTTGAGCACTGCAGAAGGAAGCATGCTTTTCTAGGACCCAGCCTTCATGAGCAACTTTATCATTTAAGTCGGTCTGATTTGTAAGAAGTTGCCTATATACACTTGATAGGACCCTTTAAAAATAGATGCGAACTTGTATCAGAACTTAAATCTACATAGATATGACTGTTTTGATTTGTAAGTAGATAGTTCTAGTGGTTCTGTTGCTTAAACATATAATGATATTTAGACTTGGAAGACAAAGCTTTTTATTTCTCATATGCTAGTGACTAAATTAGTTTCTTAAAACTAGCATATTAATTTTTTACATGGCAAAGAATCTTCTACGGACTTATGGGGTTTTATAGATATATCTATACACACACATATATATATATATATTACCTTAAAACCTGCAACTAAACCCAGTTATGCAAGGGAGAAATATTCACTCATGTTTGCCTAAACATTTCTTCCTTTTGCAGGAAAACATCATTCCCTATATCACAAGTAATGCAACCCCTCTGAGACACCTGCAAATACAGTTATTACATTACCACATGTATGTCTGTCTGAATCTTCATGCTGAATAACCCAGTAGAGAAAAGGTTCCCTTTTGAGACTTGTTCTATTTACAGTAATTTCTGTTTAAATTATCCTTAAAAACTAGCTTTGAACATTATCAAACTGGCTGTCGTAACCTACTGCTGAGTTCACCACGTCGACTAATGACCCAAGATTTTATTGAGCTCTGAGGCAAGGTTTACATTTGCATTCTTTGCTAGCAGTTTTGGCACTGAGAGACATAGGGCAGTGGATCTTTGGGCAGTTTAGTGCCTGTAATAAACTTCCTTAGTCTCAGCGGCATTTCTTGTTGTGTCATGATTCCTTCTATGATTAAGAGCCTTGTAATCCTTCAAACTACAAGAAATGATGTGTGTCAAACTGGAATTGGATATGAAGTGATGTTCAATGCAGACGTGTAAAATGGAGCATTTCATAATTCTTTTGTATAATGTTGATAAAAATTATTGGAGTAAAAGGTACATATCCGCTGCTTTGCAGTGATTGCTGCTGTTCGTACTCTTACTGATGGTAACTTGTGCAGGTCTTGTTCACCTCATGTTAACTTGTTCCTTAATTTTAGTTTACAAAGGTAGAGAAAGATAAAAGATTTAAATGTTGTAGATATATAAGGAGAAAGGTATTTTGTTTTGTTTTTAAAGTTCAAACTTTAGAAAGAATGCATTGTAACTAGAAGAAAATACTGTCCCATGACAATGAAAGGTCATTTTATCCTACAAGATCTTGGAACTATACAATACTCATAACTCCGTATTCATAGGCAGAAGGAAAAAGACAGTCATGCTTTATTTCAGCTCTGAGTTAGTTTGTCAAATGTAAGTAAACAAGTTCTTAAACTGAATTAGCTCAAGAACTGTTCCTTGTGTGTGCAAAGAAATTACTCCAGCCAAAAGCTAGCTTAACCCTTTCTGCAGACTGTTTCTGTGTACTTAGTCACATTCAGTGATTTAAGTTTTTCATAATTTTGATACCAAACTTCATAATTTTCTAACATTCTAATTACATGGTTTTTAATAAAGTAAAGAGAGTTCATGCCTTAAAACAACCTTTTATAAGCTTTACTTTGAAATTGTTAAAGGCTCTGGTAAGGTTTTTAAATGTTTTTAATTGCTCACTTTTTGAGTTTTCTTGAGGTTTTCCATCACTCTACATTCCTTCTCCTATCTACACTCAAATAATTTATTTGACAGCTTCTGTGTGTATAGAATGCAGCGCAGTGGAGTCCCAAGAAGGTCTGCCATTAGGATGCCTAGCAACTAGAGTAATACCAATAATATTTGCCAATTTTTTTTCTTCTAGGAATTAATGTTTCCCACCTACAGCACTCCTATGAAATTTAAAAGCTAACAAAACAGAGCATGAAAAGGACAAATTCATTTAACTGCTGTAAATATTTCCAAAGTATCTCATTTTTCCTTTAGACTGCCCAAATTAGTGGCTCAGGTTATGGAGAGGTTTACATCATTATTGAATGAAGTAATCCATTTAGTGAAATCTGATGCAAGTGACTTGAGAGGGGGAAAGGCAGGGAAGAGAGAGGTAATGAACTTGCTTTTCCTCCCTTTCTAGAGGTGATCCTTCAAAAGCATGCTTAACTTAGAGAATTGCTTAATTTCAAATCCCTGATCGGCTGTTGGTACATCACTAAAAAGGCCTGCCGTGCTGCGTTTTCAAACCCCTGAGACAAAAGTGACATCTTTGATCCAACCGCTCAGCCAACACGGCCAGGGAGATTCTGCTGCTCAGCTGAAAGCATACAGTGCAAGAAAGATAGCTTGGATTCAAAGTTCAGTTTCAGAAAAAGACCTGCCTTCCCTCTGTACATTTTTACAGGTCTTGAACTCATCAGAAGTAAAGAGTATGAGCACATTTTATTTGTTCTTAGTCCTTTGCTCTGGCTGGTCTGCTGCACAACCTCAGTGCCTTACTCATGTAAGAGCAGCAACATCTCCTTTTTAAATGTTGATCCAAAATAGACTTGGCTGTGGTTGATTTAGACCTAAATCACAACTTTACATGAGGACTTCACCATAGCCTTTTAAAGCAAGCAGAAGCATATTTAGAGGTGATGGTGTCATCATCTTGAGCTAAGCTAAACTCTCCAAGATGTTGGTTTGCTTGGCATCTCTCCAGAGTGGTTTCTGTGCGGTAGGATTCCGGAGAAGCCAAGCGATAGTAGTTTTATAGCTATCACGTTCCTGTCGATGCCTGAGGGATTTCGGAATGGAAACAGAAGTAAATGCAGGCTGACTGTTAATGTACAAAATGAGCTGTGCTCAGAGAGTTGTGGTGGGTGAAGAGGGCAGAGAGGAATGTGTGCAGGGAGCTGGCTGAGTGGTGGTAGCTTCTAGCTGGATTTGAGAGATGCATTTACAAACAGGAATCCTGGTAAAATATTAAAAAAACCCACAAACATATTTTGGGAGTCTGATACTGAAATATTTATGAATGGTTGGAAAGGGAAAAAATAAAATGCCTACTTTGAATTGTTTAATGAATTTTGCATTTCAGCTGGAAAACTACTCATTACACCCCTAATACTGGTTCTGGGACTGGCACTGGGAGCCATAGCTGTTGTAATAGGTAAGAGTTACATATATGAATGAGACTAATTCTGATTTTGCCGTGACTTTCTGTATGACATCTCAGTATTTTCATCTCGGAGATGGACACAAAGTACAAATTTCAGAGATATCATTTTATTATAAAGCCCATGACTTTTTTCCTAAAAAAAAAAAAAAAATTGTCTTTAGAATCTTTTTTACCTTACTTGCATTTTATGCCTATTAGCTTTATTTTTATTTTTCCCCAATTATTTGGTTTTCTGAACCAAAATCTTTAACTAGTGCAGTTAAACCATTAAAAAGGCCAGAGTAACTTAAACATAGTCCTGGGGGCTGGCTGACTTGGACTCTCCCTTTATTCACCCCAGCGGATCACAGTTGTAAGATCTTGGCCATGTGCATGACAAGATTTTTGGGGCACTAGGCATTAGTCCCAGGAGCCCTCCAGCTTGGAGATGCAACAATAACAACAAAGCAGCAAATTGAGATGAGTCAGTCTCAAAATCTGAGTCAGTGCATAGGTTGCCAAATCAGATCCATCACAAAAAACAGTACTGTGAACTCATTGGTTGTAGTATCAAAGTTCTGCTAACGTGGTTGTATTAATGTGGATGTAGTTATTCTAATAAATCTGCTCTTTGCCTGGCTTAACTGAATTCTCCCGCAGAAATGAAATAAGCTGTAAGGATAAATGTATGATTTTTCTCATGTAAGTGCATATCCATTATTTATGTTGGCAGTAATATGTCAATCGGGGATCATGCTGCTTCACAACTCTTCACCAAACTACTTAGTCCATTAAAAATTTGCAGTGTATGCCCAGCCCTGAGGCATGTTGAGATATGGCACCTTTATTTTGAGATAATAAAGCCAAAATATACCAGAATAGTTACATTAATAAGATTGTACATAACCAATCAGCATATAACCAAAATAGCATTACAGCTTTTCTAGACTACATCTGGCCAAATAAGGAATATTGCTATTAATTTCAGTATTTAGGCTAAGAATATGTATCTTTTTTTTCTGTATCAATATTCTGAGTTGGATTCACTGAGGATAGATATCTGTATCTATATATATCTTAAATATTTATTCTTTTTAGTGACATTTTTATGCCAAAAATATAAGCAATAAAGACTTCTTGATGCCAGTAAAGTTTATTTTGCTCAGCAATCTGCTATAATATGTGCTGGGAAAAAAACCTACTCTTTTGCTTGTATTAAAACTTAGAGGGTTTTGCAGTAATACAATAGCAGTAATTGCAGTAATACCCAGTATGCCACTGAAGTCCCATCCTAGGTATGGCCGGATAAGAGATGATCAAGAAGAGCAGTATAAGCAGTTCCAAAAGCATTGATTATTTATAGGAAAGCTTTGGTTTTGAGGTAATAGCAGCAATATTTACTGCTAATGCAACTGTTAAAGTAGTCTCAGTATCATACCTGAAAACCATTTTACACCATTTACAAGGCTGTTGAGCAAAACAAGGACACTGGTGACTATAGTAGTCTTTTGTTATATGTTGTTACTGTAGTGGTGTCTGAAGAGGAGATCTTTCACTGTTTCAGTCAGCTGGTAGCAAGAGAAAGGGGGAGATGCTTCTCATTCAGGTTTGAAAGAGTAGCTCTTATGACAAAGTATTGTTCATTTGAATAAATCTGATTTATTTATTTATTTTTCCTTTTACAACTTCCTTTCTCTGAAAAGACTTTTAAGAATAAATAGTTCCCTGCCCAGGCAAGGATAAACATTTGGTATTACTTCACAATAGATGAGCATGTTTGTAAAAATAAATAATATTTAAAAGTAAAGCTGTAACATGCTGCCTCTATTGCATAGTTGAAAACTAGTTTAGTTAAATCAGCCTTGGATTTAAATCTAAGGATTGCCAAAGTGCTTTTAAAAGTATTTTATACAAAACAGCATGGTTCAGGAATTAATTTGTTAGAGATGGGAGTAGAGTTAGTGGGAATTTGTTGTAAAGTAAACAGAAGGTGTAGCTTAACTCGTTACTGAAGGGTCTGTTGCAGGCTAATATTTTTTTTTCTGCTTGTCCAAATTGCTCATCTAAATTCTCTTCGGACATGGGAAGCTGCTTCTGAGTACTCTGTGTGTTGAAAGAACACAATGCACACACAAAGGATTGCATTTAATGATGGTTTTTCTTATTTTCTTCTTTTGGCAGGTTTATTTGTGTTTCCTATCTATTGCCTTTGTAAAAAGCAGAGGAAAAGGTCACGGACAGGTATGCCCTGGTAAGGATGGACCTTACTCACCTGAACTGAGCTGGTCCTGCAAGGGCTATAGGCGCTTTGTGCAACAGAGCAATACAGTGCTGGTGACAGCATCAGAGCCACCGCCCTGGAAGAAGAAAGGGGCAGCTCCTGCCATCTTCCCTCCGCCGAAAACACTACTGCAGACCAGAAAGCCTCTTTGCTCTGGTGCACTCTGAACAAGACGGGCCCCCTGACTGCTGCTTTTTAAATGTTTTGGGTTTTGGTTGTTTTTTTTAATTATTACTTTGGAGGGGGTTTTTTTGAGTCTAAATTTCTGAACTAGACAATCAAAGTCTGTATTGTAGCCACAACTCTACTACCGATTTGGCCTGTGAAGAAAGCATTTAACTGCTAATACGTGCTCCGTTTAACTTCAGTGTCAGCCTTTAAGGGGGAAATGCTTAGAAGTGTTTGGACTCCTGCTGTATACTGAGCATACTACTTTTGGTATTAAAAACTACTTCTGTAAATAACTTCCATCACACACCATTCTGTTCAGCATACCGAAAGCCCGTCACATGCTGGAGCACGACAGCTGGTTCTCTGCTGAGCCCTCCTGCTAGCGGGCACGAGGGTCGGTTGCCACCACCACGCTGCAGGTCCTCGGAGGGAAACATCCCCAGTGTTGAAGCTCCAGGATACTTACAGAGATGCTGATTGGTTTCATTTCGGTATTTAATTTATGACAGTCTATTAATATTGGGTGGAGGGGTGACAGATTTGTTAGAAGAGTACAGCATTTTGAAACTCCCCCAGTACAGAAAAAATTTGAAGAGTTGAGATAATAAGGAGTGTCAGGGGCCTGTTCTGTCCCAAGATACCCCTGAAGTGTGTTTGCAGGGAGGCTGGAAGCCTGTTCTTCTGTTCTGACTTGGCATATAATACACATGCTACACACTAGTTGTGTGAAGATTGACTTGATGAAATTTTATAACCTGAATAGCATGTTTTGTTTGTTTGTTTGAAGTAGGCTACTGAAGCCTTAGAGCATCCACTGATGTCTCATGAGGAAAACCTGTCGATTTTGGGTAAGAGGAGGGGTCCTGAATTCTTAGGAGACCATTTCATTCTTGTTCTCTGCTTCCAGTGGTTGTCTTCCTGGCACATTACAGATCTGAAGAGAATAGCTATCCTTGCTCTTTTTTCCTAACTTCAGAGTACCACTGTTTGCTACCAGACCTCTTTCTCCGCACATCGCCACAAAAGCAATGTAATTCAACATTAGGAATCAGCTACTGAGAGTTTTTTCCACTTTAGTTATAATTCAAAGTTATCATACAAATATAACTTAGAAGAAAAAAAACAGAATAAAATAAATTGGTGTAAGCAGAACACTGAAACAAAGAAAGGAACTGAATAAGAGATATCTACTTTATACTTTAAAAATACAAGTTGATCTTAAAGAAAAGAAGATTGGATTTGTACTGTGAAGGTACTTTTTGGTTTTTTTCAGTCTCTGTGCTTGAAGAGACAGACATATATATGTGTTTGTATATATATATATATGGGGAGAAGGGGAAGCAGGGATGTCCTAGAGAGTCTGCAGACTTCAAAATTTAGGCCCGCAAATAGCGTATCATTTGAGATGATGTACTTTGCACCGCTTTCTCTGAAACTTGTTCTTAAATCTGAATCTAATTGTATTTTTTAAGTAAATAGTATTCTACCCCACCAACATAATACTGTTATAAGATACTCACTTTGACTTTGATGCCTCAGTGGAAGAAACTGATGAATTTTGTTTACATGGAAACTCAAATATCAGCTTACCATAGTTGGCTAGTATACTTGTTTTCTGTCAGCTTCTGGTTTTGTTTTATTGTTTGGTATTTTTCTTGTTGAAACAGTGTGTACAAGCACACTGTAATAGTTAACAAATACTTAATATTTCCATTCAAATTTAAGGGCATGTTGACCCTGCTGTCCTAACGGTAGAAATAGTACCTTTCTAAGATTTGCAAATTAAGCGAGGAAGCGATGACATTTAGAAGTAAAGTTCAAAGCCTACTGTCAATGCAAATCCACCCGTTAATTAGATTTCTTCTTCTGTGACACATCAGTTTTCTATTTGTGTTCTGTCTGAGGTTGGAAGCTGCCTTAAAATCGGTCTTGTTTTTGAGTGTGTTTTCTGAGGTTATACATATTAGTTGTCTTTGGCTTACTCAGGGATTTTTATTCCTTTCTTTAAGTGTCAAATAATGAAGATATTTTTGTATTATTTAGAAAAACCTTCAGACCTCAGAGAGTGAGAGATATATGTATAGATAGATAGATTTGGGTTTGCAATGCAATCTGTACTATGGTGTCAAACTATTCCACTTGAGAATATTTTAGTACTTGAGATTATCTGTAATTAACTATACAGTGGACTAATTTCCTTTCTCTTCCTGGTTCTTTATAAATATGTGAGATATTCTTACAGTATTTGTAGCTGTTTTCACTCTGCCGTGTTTGCCATTTTCAGTTTCTGATGGGAGTTCAGTAAGATCTGAAATTGAGATGCCAGAATAAAGAGCATAAAAGGGAAGATAATAGATCTGTGCTTACTTATATTCAGAAAGCATGTAATTGTGGGTGGAGGAAAGGAACACACGTGTCAAGTCCTACATTATCATTTCATCTGGGCCATTTTGATTTTATTGAAACAGATTAAATCAAAGGGAAAATGGTTCTTCATTTTCTACACATAGAAAAAATGAGGTATCTTTGACCTTGTAACGATGGGAGAGTCTAATCTTGCTTTGTCAGTAGAAAAATAAGGTAGGAATGACAATAATACTTGCTTTTGCTTTTCTGTAGAACAGGGAAAAATGTCAGGAGCCAGGCAGAGCAGGGATGTGGAAGTCTTTTTCCATCCATATAAAAATATTCCCACTTGAGTAGTACATACATACAACTCTTCATCAATATGTAACATAACCAACTGAAATATGGGAGGTAGCTTAGTACAAAGCTTCATTCAATAAAATGTTAGCTTTTAAACAGCTCTTCTCATATCACAGGAAATCTTACGTACATCAAAGTCATGTCATTTGTTTTACAAGCATTAATTTATCAGTTTGAAAGAAATGGAAGGAACTTTGTTCTAAGGCAATTCAAGGATGTTTTTCTTTTCATTATGTAAATGTGTTTTGTTTTTTGTAACTGTACTCTAAAGAAACCATCAGACTGTTGTACTCATCTTTATTAGCCGAAAACTTCATCAGGCAGCTGAATTAACCTGCTAAGGCAGATTTCATGCTACTGTATGCTGATCATCGCTGACTATCAGGTTTGCTTTCACCACATCTAATATGTAAGAGTATTTATCTTTGCGTGAAGTTGTTGCTCACCGATATCTATATTCAGACTAGGAAATACTTAAATCCATTCTACGTTAGCCTTCTGTTTCAGGCTTGCTTGGAAATGGGTTTGCCCGTGCTGTGTGTCCCCCGTCCCGCTCCTGCTGGGGAGGGCTGCCTGGGCACTCCAGTCTGGAGGGGGCTGCTTGCCCTTTCTCCACTTTCTGCACTCAGAGTAATTAGTTGTATTTCATTAATTGGGTTAAGTTTCAGAGCTGCTCAACCATGTCAGTGGCAGGATGATTCTGACTGCTGTGGTGTCTCAGAGCATAGTTGGGTATATTTACAGAACTTATCCAGGAGCTTGTGAGTGGAAAATAATTGTGCTTTTCCTCCTGTCAGTTTATTAGCCAATGAGAATAAGAAGCTGAGAAGGAGAACAAGCAAGAGGCAGAAGGCAATTCTGAGTAGCCACATGCTGTAGTTGGCCTATCAATTTTAGGTCTGTACAAAAAAGTCTGTTAGTCTTCAGTTCTCACCACCTCTATAATGAACAGCATATTCATATCTTTCCAATGTCATTAAAATCCAGTGCCCTTCGAGTCAGCTGTTATCTTCCTTTGGGGCTGTGCAAATGTGTAAGGGACGATTTTGTGTTTGGTTTTGATGTTACTAATGCTGACTTCATAACTCTTCCTGGTGTGTTAGGGGTTTTTTAATTTACATCTATTTATTAGTTCTGAAAGTTTGATCAATGTGAAGTTTTACTTTATTAAAAATACTAATTTGCAGGGACTATTGCCAATTTAACTAGAAGGTGTTTTGGATCACCATCAGGTATTCTTTTTAGCCAAGGAGCTTTCTGCGCTTCCGAAGACTGCCATAGCTTGTGTGATGTTAAATGGTGTGTAAGCAGGGCAGTAATTCTGTTGGAGGATACAAATTCTCCAGTGATTGAATGGTTTCTCTTGCTGGTTAGAGCTGAGAAACTGATTAATATACAATGGCCAAATAGTTTGCCGTGCAGATTCTTTAGTTGTGGTGTTTTGTTGTTTCTTGAGCAAACCTTGTATCATTCATAATTCTTGGTATAACTGTGTAGGTCCAAGTTGTGGATAAGAACCATGGATTACTGTGACTTTTATAATCTATATTAGATCTCTGGTTTTGCTGAGGGAAAGAATCCTACCTGAGGAAACTATTAGTGAGATAATTTCTTAGTCTCTTTTAATTTTGCAGCCTTATAGTTGGAGTGGGTCAGCTCCATTCCTGATATCAGTCATAGCCCCGTTAAATCAGAGAAACCATACTCATTTTTATGCCGTGGTTTATGCTATTCCAAAGTATGGAATTGGGTCGCAGATATTTTGATAAAAGTTCCTGGAAGCATGTTGATAGCCATTGTGCAGCAACTTGAAAATCTGGTTCACTCCTGAAGAAGTGCAAACTACTATGGAGCCGGTCCTCTGACTCGCAGAGCGATGCTCGTGCTGTTTAGTGAGGGCAGGGAGTAGGGAAGTATTTCCTAAACGACATTCTTATTAATGCAAATTGTCAGGGGAGGGAATACTAGCTTTTAATATAATAAAGAGACCACCTTAATACTTTGAGTCACTAATAAAGTTAGAAACAACATCCGTAGACAGTGTTAACTAACATATCTTAAAATTCTGCTTTCTTCAGTGTACCAGATATTAGCACAGCGTAAGAATTGGAATTATAGCTGTTTGGTATTTTTCAGACTTAGCACATGAACTTGAAAAAGAGGGCACACAACATTAAAAAAAGTTATATTGCTGGTATATTTGGTGGCTTGTCTTGCTACTGTTGTATGAAAAACCAGCTGAGCCTTGATTCAACTGCAAGACTAGCAGTGTCTTCACTTAAGTACTGCTCAAGCCGTAACACAACACCCCCAAACTTTTTTCTTAACAAAACTAACAAATGCAGCTTCTTGCAGTTACACAGGACTGTAGCTTCTCGGCCAATTCTTCCTTATCTTTCTGTGCATAAGGGCTCAGGATCTATACCTTCTCTCTCCAGTAAGGAATGGAGCGCTCATACTAGGCAGTTAATCACTCATGCTTCTCTTAGCCTGACAGTGAAGTACCGTAAGGTAGGAAAATGAAAACTGATCTTGGAGTGCATGCTCTGATTTCAAAGGTAAAAATGTTTCATAAGCTTTAATTACT